AGAGATCAATCCTCTCATAACTTTACAGCAGTTGCAAGCTGATCAGGCCCCTGTTTCATAAAACTTTATATTAATAACCCGTTACAATCTACTGTAATAAGCTACTGAAAACATGGCATCTAATTGGCTGAGAGCAAATTTGTAATAGAAATTTAGCATTTGTTGTAGATAACAATTTTTAGAAAACGTGCCCCTGGAGGCATCGTTGCCCGACAATCCAGCCGTCATTTTAAGCATAATTGCCAGAGCTCTAGAGCTCTAGAGCTGTAGACGGCATGTTGATAACTATAAAGTTAACTGATGACGTGTCAGACGAGCGGATTATTATTCCAGCGTGATGGACATGCGCGTCGAATACGCGCACTGGTTTTTGAACAACTGAGTGGTGGCACGCTGGCGACACTGCGGCTTCTTAGATGAGACGGGATATAATATCTTGACTCGTCGATCTTTCGGTGGAGCCCCTCGTGGCGTACTAGCAAGACGAGTTGTACATGTGCAGCGTGGGAGGGTCTACAATATGACATTCGATGATGAGGGCCTCGTCCACCACTCAGTCACCAGCGAGACCGTCAGTCACACTCACATCTATATGCCACGATGTAAGTTAGTAGTGGTGGTTAATTATCTTACCTGCCTGCTAAGAAACCATAAATGCTCGTTAGTAAGCAACCAGAGGACCGATGGCTTCAGGTCCTCTCCGGGAGACCTGGTAATGAGGATCAATGCCTAACCAAAGGGCACTAGCGCATCAACATCTTGGCCGTTAGCAGATTGAACGTTAAAAGAACAGACAGTTAAGGTCAAGGTGCATTGCTTATGAACTACAATATGTATCTTTTTTCCCGGAAAGCTTGAATCATTAGAGCAAGGCATGCCCCTTAGAAGACTTCAAGGATTAAGTTTATGTAAATTGTTACCGATCTCTAGAAGATGTTTACGCCTTTGTAAAAAAAATTCTTATTGGATCAGTCCGAATTGTTGTTTACTTCCATAAGTATACACCACAATATCATTTAACTGTAAGCATTATGGGATATATTCGGAATGTTTGATTTACTCAATTTTACAACAAAAAGTTTAACACATGATTTCATTATAACTTGCCATATTACTCATGGCACATACATAACAAAAAGCTGTAACAATATATATGAAAAATGCAAAAACTGCCTAAGAACTGTGGTCGAATTTTGTGTAAAGTGTCTTATCAATCATGCATGGTTCCAAAATAACACTATGTAACTTTTTCCCTTTCAACTCATCACATATTGTACGAAATATCACAATTTTCGTGGCATGTTCAAAATATATGAATGTACATAATATCCCTACCAAGATATGCCTAAGATAAGGCAATTAGTTCAAACGTTTCGTTTATTTTGTGGTAGACGTCGGTGTGCATAATCATCATGTCTGAGTATTGTGAAATTGTGTATGCTGATCTTAGGATAGGTGAAGTATACTTGTTCTTGTAGGGGGTGTCATCCGTGTTTAATGTTGTGTGATTTCATCAGCAAAGTGTATCTTCATAGAAAGTGTCGTTGTTCTTTGGATCCATAGGTTATTAGCAATCAGCTTATCATATCTGATTAGGCCTTCAAAAAAAGAGGTAAAAAGTATAAATATGAAGAAAAATTGGGTGGCTGGTAAAAGAGAAATGGGGAAAAAAATTGAGGGAGAGAGATTGGAGAAAGGGAGAGAGAGAGAGAGAAAGAAGGAGAGATAAAGGGTGGGAGAGGGCAAGACAGATATGAGAAAGAGAGAGAGAGACAGAGAGAGGGAGAGAATGGGGAGAGGGAAAGAGATATAGAGCGATATAGAAAGGGCGTTATAGGGAGAGAGAAAGGAACACCATATTGGTACATTTTATACATCATACAAAAGAACAATTTTATTGAAAAATTATTTTGAAATTGTTTATTTATGATCTTTCGTATCTTTTGTTTGTTGGGGTCCAGTGGAAGACAAGAAGCAACAATATACTGATGGAGCCGATTATGGGTTACCAGTCGTATGTTTCCTTTTCAACTCTCTTGTATTTTATTTCGTTTTCTTTTAAATTTTAAATGTTGTATTTGCTTTTTGTTTTTAAATAAACGGAAAGAAAATAAACAGACAGCGGACAATAGTGCCTCCCTGTCAAACATTAATATATGTTATTTTGATGTCAATCTCTTGTGATATCATATTTCGTTAAGTAAAGAATATGAGTCACGACTTTACATTTGAATGAAAGGATACATTTTGTCGTCAATACTATGAAGCGACAAATCCGTATATATAGATAACGACTAAATTATTCATACCCTTACCAATTGTTGTTATATTTAAGTATGTGAAAAATTGATATGTCCTGATTGATATTTCTTGAGAATGTTACATATTAAAGCTTACATATAAAATTATTTCGAAAATAGTTCTTCCTAAATCAATCAGTCGAAATGTATTCCTTGAAATACACACACACACACACACACACGCAAAAATGTCATGAAAAACATAGTTATTAACTTTATATATATATATATATATATATATATGATGGATTAGTCGGCTCATAAAACTGCCAGCGATTTGTGTCATATCTGAACCAATTTATTCTTGTCTGAGATGCTGTGTAAATAAACAAATATTGACAGAAATTACTGTTCCTTTTTAAGAGAGTTTTATTGTATATCTTTTTCAAAATATATATGCGTTGAATCATACATGTATTTGCCTGAGTGATAATACAGAGTAGAAGAGAGGAACAAAAAACGTCCCAGATCACTTGCGATATAAGCGTAGATTGATATCAAAAAAATATTTTTTGATTTGTGGCTCGATGTCAATAGCTTAGAATGTGGGGGAGTATGAGAAAAAAGAGAAATAATGAATTTCATGAAATATTATTTAGCCTTATGACATCTCGAATTTAATTGTGAATGGTCTTCAGGCAAAAACGCAGCATCATTTGATAATAACAATAATGAAAGAAAGTATGATTATAATAGCAAAGAAGATACCAATGATAAGGATTATACTCATAATTACAATAATAATAATAATAATGATAATAATATTAATGATAATAGATTATTATGATTATCATTATTAATAATAATGAACTATAATGATAAACATTAATAACAATACTACAACTAAAAATAATTATAATAATGAATACAATAATGATTAGAATAATAATAATATTACAATAAAAGTACAAATTAAAACTTTTCCTATTCATTTGCTCCAGATGAACGCTAATACTTCGCTATACAGACTCGAACTAAATTATAGTAAAATACAGAAATATAGTAAAATATAGAAATATACCCGATGTGCATTTTTTTTGGAATGCCCCTTACAATTTCCCATATGCATGAGCATGCATCATATTGTACCATAGGTCTGGTGTTTGAAATGACAAATGGAAAATATTTGAATATATATATATATATATATATACATATATATATATATATATATATATATAAATGAAGAGAGAGAGAGAGAAAGAGAGAAAGGGAGAGAGAGACAGAGAGAGAGGGGGAGAAAGAAAGAGAGAGAGAGAGAGTAGGAAAGACATCTAGTCACAACGCTAGAGGGACTAATTTCATCTGGTGAGAATAAATCGAAAGCGCTTATAAAGTTTAACCTAAGCCTCTTATGTATTCCATATCGCGTTGTGAATTGATATATTTTCTACTGTTTTCACTCTGCCTGTCAAGGCACATTGTTCCTCCTAGCATTTTCATATATATGTATTTATTTTCTTCTGATAGTTGGTTCTTTTGATTTAATAAAAGAGAGATCGTAAAAGTAGGAATGGTCAAAATTTTAATTTATTTCGAAGAATGTGAACAATCACATATCATGAAACATTTTGTAAAACTATCACATTAACGTATTCGAAATAATCGACAAATACTGACAACATTTCTAATTATATCCCTTCTATAAACAATCTTGAGTATTCTAAATGCATAATTGATCATTTGGTGCTCATGTGATCAAATGTAATTTCTCCAGGAAAAACAAATATCGACATTTTGCTTTGGTATGCAGACGGTTTTAAACATAACATGTGAAGATGGCTACATATTATTCTCCCCTCGGAATATGTTGTATTCAAATATCATAATTTATTTACAGTATAAGAAGTGATCATCTGCTATTAAAACCAAATCAATATGATACAGCAATAAAAGGACAGGAAGTATGAAAATCTCAACAATCACATGGACAAAAGGAAAGATTTTAAGTAATACAGTACTATATTTACACTCCTATATTTTACTTATTTGAGTTCTACAAAGCTCCCGTACACACCCAATACATGATGGTAATATATTACATGAATTGACAATGATTAAAATCGTTTTCTGTTGTTTGAAAGACTAATGGTATCAGTTTCGAATTAAGACCCTCAAATACGACGAAAGCACTTAGTCAGCTATCTGATTAAATATTAATACCTTCATTTTTACAACGACTTAATTGGCTGAGTACGCACCTGTGATTTTAGAAATATTTACAAGCATTTGCAGGAGTTCCCTTTCAAAAACTGATTAAAAACAACATTTCCATTGTTGCCACACGGATTTCAATATAATTCCTTTCGCACTATCATTTAACCAGTCTGATTAGACAAATCATGCAAATGCAGTTATATGTTCACGAAAATAAAGATAATCTAACCTTAACCAATAATATATGAAACTGCTATATTCCTATTTTCCCTCAGGAAATGAAAGTTGAGTAGGCCTAAGAATTTAATTTTAGTTTAAAATATGTGAAGATTACTATATATTCATCCATGTTATGCTTCTTTCCCTCGGTTTCCATGCCCCTCCCTTCCCCATACCCTTTTACTGCACTTTTTCTCCATGTCCCTCCCGTCCCCTATCCCCATTCCTTTATTTTCTCCGAAAAAATCCCCTTCTTTATATCCCCCCCCCCCTGCCACGCGCCCCTCCCTTCCATGCCCTTCCTTCCCAATTGCCCCTCCCTTCCCTTCCCTCTCAATTGCCCCTTCCCTTCCCTATGCACACCTCCCTCACATGAATATCATCTACGCCATGCCCCTCCCCTACTCCATACCCTCCAAATACCCCTTTCCTTATACCCCCTCCCCTTTCCCAATGGACAGATATTGCATAGAAGCACTTGCGATGAGGACCGGATCGGATAAAGGCGACACCGGTTACACCCGAGACGCTCATAAACACAGATCTCGATTCTCGAGACCGATAGTGCTAACGATCTTCTACTTGTACAGCATGGCAGGTCGACTCTGGTAAGTATCATAAGGCGATTCCCGCTGGGCATGCTGAAAAAAAGAAAAAAAACAGTATACATATTTCATCAGATTTGAACGGGATATAATGTAAAGGAAAATAAACATCAACGCCAATTTTGAACTGTTGAGTTGAAGAGATAATCGCCCTCTGTTGTTCATTTATGACATTAATAGCAACAGTGTATTTTTTTGTACAACGCACATGATATTATCCCATTAAAGCTCAGTGGATAAAAAGCAAGTCCATTTATTGCGGACAGGTTGCTATTCATTTACACGTAAACAAAACAACGGTTTTCTTTTGTTGGGTCATATCTGAACAAGCCTTGATTGAGGTATCACCCACGGAGACCACAGCACCACATCATCAGAGTCATCTATACACAGAGCTTGACAACTTGGTTTCAGTTGGACTAAACATAGGGAGTGTTTCACAAAGACTAAGATCGACTTTAAGTTGGACTTAACTATGCCAGGCCATTCACGTCACTGATTACTCTCCCTATTGGTCTTTACATTATGATCTTTAGATAATATTTTTTCCTTCACTAATGAACTATCAAAGAATGTAAATTGTGACCATGATTTGTACGTCCCTTGATAGACCAATGCCAGTAAACGGTGAGAGAGAACAGTGGCATGAATGGCCTGCCATAATTAAGTCCAACTTAAAGTCGATCTTAGTATTTGTGAAACACTCCCATGATGTAGATTTGTTTGTATTGCGTTAACCCGTATCTTATGGTTCACATTCAGGCGATATACGAAGACCACACCGCAAAATTAAATATAAAGTTGAGTTCTGGTAATGCGATTGCATTGTGAAAGAAAACGTGTGGAATGGATCAGAAGAACTTGATCATGTAGCATGTAAGTATTGGTGTGTGCTGCAAGGTTCTGGAGCCATCAAAATCATAATCAATTTGGCCCAGTCTTGGTAAAGTAACAAGCACTGTTCACAGAAAGATGTATAATTATGGAACAACACAAATGATTTCGGGCCTACTGACCTTGATTTCCTTGTCTTTCTATGCTCATTACTCAGCCAATATACATTTTCTACCAAAATTGTTTGGCGAATGACATTTATTTGTAATCTTGAACATTCAGTGTAAGTTTTGTTTGATTCTGTGAGAATTCATTTTCTTTTTTTTTGGTACCAGAACTCAAGTTTATTTGTAATCTCACGTGTTTCACATGGACAACGTTTCACGACTTACATCTCCTGGCGGCGGCATTCCTGCTAAGCCGCCAATAAACCCGTTGATGCAGCAGTCAACGAACATCGCCATGAGTGCGAAGATGAAGATGAGACAGCAAGCGACGATGATGGTGGCGTATAAACCTATGACAGCCTGTTGCCTGGTATCTTCCACCAAGGTAGGCTGGAGGTATACGCTATAGATGGCCCAGGACAACATACCCATGCATATACCGGTTACGGCAAGGGCCAGGAAGTTTACCACAAAGACCGTCATGGAGAACTGTTTGCAAGAAGAAGAAAAAGGAGGAGGAGGAGGAGGAGGAGGAGGAGGAGGAGGAGGAAAAGGAGGAGGAGGAGACGGAGGAGACGAACGAAAAAAAGGAGAAGCAGAAACAGAGAACAACGTGGAGGAGGAGGAATAGATTAAGAAGGAGATGAAGAAGGAAGAAAACAAGACAAAGAAAAGGAAAATGGAGAATGAGGTGATGGAAAAGGGGAAGTAGAAGGAGAAGGAGAAGATTTAGAAGACATAGGAAAAGAAGGATGGGGTGGTGCAGAATAAAAAAAAGAATGAGAAGAATTTAAAACAAGTAGGAGAATACAAAGAAAGAGGAAAGTAGGAAAAGAAGATGAAGAAGGACAAAAAGAGGAAGAAGAAGAAAAAGAAGTAGAAGAAGAAGAAAAAGCAAAAGGAGAAGAAGAAGGAAGAGAACAAGAAAAATAAAAGGGAAAAGGAAGATAAGGTGGTAGTTAAGAATACGAAGAAGTAGAAGAGATAGAAAAAAAGGAGAAGTAAGAGAATACGAAGGAGGAGGAGAAAAAGGAGAAGAAGAAGTATAACAAAAGTAGCCGTAGAACAAGGAGAAGAATAAGGAAATGGAGGAGGAGAAGCATAAGAACCAGAGAGAAAAGAGGAGGGGTGGTGGAGAAGAAGAAGAAGAAGAAGAAGAAGAAGAAGAAGATAACGAGAGAGAAGGGGAAAATACACTTATCATAAGTTCATTTAAAAATGTGAGTTACTAATCCAGTTTGCTGGAGAAATTTGATTGAATACTAAGAAATTGCATTGGAAATAAGTCTTGGCCAGATGTTTATAGTAGGATTTTCTGGGAAGTAACTTATACTGCGAGGTTTTAGAATGATCAAAAGAAATTGCATGTGAGTCTGTCTTGATGAGAGTTGTTGAACTGCACACATAAATGGGTAAATGGGACTATACACACGTGTGGAATTAATGTTTGGTCCAAACATATAAGAAATGTTATTTATTCCTTGTCATGCCAATTAACCAGATGTAATCAGATTTCGTGGTATAATGATAGTACTTTACTATGTAAGTAATCATAATTTTTATATTTTGTATTAGCATATCTCTTATGTGAAATGTGAACTAGGTTTAAAAAGATTAACTATTAATTTGAAAGTGTATGAACAAATTGAATATGACATTCGGAAAATGGTGAGAACATATTTTACTATAAAATTGTTATAACTGAATAATTACAACATGTATTATTTTACGATTATTTGATATTAGTTGTTTAGTGAATTAGAATTAGTAATTAATATGAAGATTGCTAAAAGTATTGACTTCTTTTATTCTTGTATGTACTTATAAACTGTAAACTGAATTCTATTAGTCTCCGGACTTTTTATTCAGCATGTTATTACTTGCAATAAACCAGAATTGAATTGAATTGAATTATGAATTGATTATATATCTCATCTTTTGCGATTTTGAGGGCACTTGAACAGCAACCCTTTTTTCAAAGGATATTTATATTGTGATATTCTTCCAAAACTGATGTGCAAAGAAGAGCAAGATGATGCCGGGTTGCTGTTATTCATATTCCTTGCAAAATTATTATCAAAGCATATTACTTAAAAAAAACATTAGCAATAACATTAATTGGCTCACAATTTAATTTCAAGCTTTACCAACATAAACAAGAGTTTTTCCATTTATAAATTTTGATACTCACGGGTAACTCATATGGTGTTGGCCCCCTCTTCTTTTTCCCGTCAAAGGCTTCTGTGATGTTAGCCATACCGCAGATGATAATCTAAGATATTGAGAGAAGGAAGAACGATATTAAAAACGGGACTTAGAGAGAGAGAGAGAGAGAGAGAGAGAGATGTGCAGAGAGCAAAGAGAGAGAGAGAGAGAGAGAGAGAGAGAAGAAGAAGAGAGACGTACATAATACAGAGAGAACGAAAGAGAAAATAATACAGCCATACAGATACATATAGAGAAATAGATGTACAGAGAGAGAGAGAGGAGGGAAAGGGAGAGAGAGAGAGAGAGAGAGAGAGAAAGACACAGACATACATACAAGTGAGTGAGAGATAAAGAGAAGAATAGGAAAAGAGATCGAAAGAAACGCAAATATACGTTTACTATACAAACTGGAGAGATATAAAAAGAAAGAGAAATACATACATTAGAATGAAAGACAAAGGGAGAGACAGAGAGCGAAATAGAGAGAGAGAGAGAGAGAGAGAGAGAGAGGGAGCAAGCGATCGATGACATACATGCATGATTTACACAAACATACACAAACATCTTACATTGTTTACGTTTGTTTGTTTCACTTTATCCTGTCATTTCTCATACAAAAAAATTAGGAAATTTTATTTATGAATGTTATGACGAACATTTGATAATAATTTGAAAATTTACAGATGCGATTCCTGTATTTCCTGCTTCTATCAAATCAAAAGATGAGGGTCTTCCTTTTAAAGCCCATCTGAATTATTTGGCCAGGAGGGATTAGACATCCCTGCATGGTCACTGACGAATTGTTATCTTATCAAATCAGCTCTCAATGAACATAAGAAAACGGGATCATGGGGGACCAACGGTCACCGATTAGGCATTATTTGTTATATAGAGAGCGCAAGTAGCTTATAAGTAGTGCAGTCGGGCTTTAATATAATTATTTCAAAATTCAGACGTGTCCACTGGCTCGTAACTTGTCTCGATAACGGCGAAAATCTGCTGTCCACCAAAAACTGCAATACGCTCCTATATCTTACACAAAGAGCTAAGTGAATACGTTAGGCGCATTTTCAATACTTGTATTCATAATTAAAAACCCAAACTAACTTAGCAAATCAAAAACAAAACAAAACCGCGGCGGGTTTTTTTTGTTGATTTTTGCGACGGTTCACCACGTCATATCTGAAAGGCCCTTAATTTTACGGCAGTACGTCACCGAACTGATAATAGGGACTTTTAGATTCTGCACGACGAGAACGTGGACTGCCCTTTTAAGGCAATGTGACGTCCTTTTAAGGCACTGACAGTGACGTCACATTGACTTAAAAAGGGCAGTCCACGTTCTCGTCGTGCAGAATCAAAAAGTCCCTATTAACAGGAGAATACTTACCAAAATCCCAGTCCACATAGGGACGCCTGCCGCTCCGTTCACGACTGGGATGCCAGCGGCTGGAGCGGCAATACCGTCATTGAGATAGGCCGTATCCTTACCGAGGATGGTTAAAACCAGACCCAAGGCTACCATAGCCCCTCCGCTGAATCCCAAGAATTTCTGTCGGAAACGCATCTTCGATGGTGTTGTTTGTCTTGCGAAGTAAAGTCTGTGATATGAAGATTGTTTGGGTAAAAATGAAAATAAACGTTATTAATCATTTTTATATTGATACCCGTCCCCCCCCCCCCCCCCACTCCGTGAACGGAGGAATACCATGCGTGTTCCCAAACTCCCTTAACAAAAGAAAAGAAAAAGGCCGACCCGTATTGACTTTACACACCGGACTTTTGCTGAAGGAGGGAGGGGGGGGGGGGGGTCGCTGGGAACACGTATATGCGTACCCTAAATAACACTGAGTGGAGGAGGGGGAATTGATACCATGCCTACTCGTTAAACGTACAATCACTACTACTACTACTACTAATACTACTACTACTACGTACAATACTACTACTACTTCTTCTTCTTCTTCTTCTTCTTCTTCTTCTTCTTCTTCTTCTTCTTCTTATCGAGTCACTACACAAGTCCCGTCCAGTGGTCCACACAGGCTTTAGCACGGCAATTAACGGCTTCCAGGTCATCTTGGGTGCATGATGGCTCTGGCAGGAGTGGGCAGACTAGCAGGTGTTCCATTGTCTGTTCCTGGCCGCATTCACATGCCGTTTGTTCGTCTCCTAGACCCCACCTCTGCATTAGGACTCTGCATCGACCGTAGCCAGTTCTTAGGCGGTTGAGGCTAAGCCAGGTAGGCCAAGTCTCACTGGAGCCGGTTGCGAGGGATTCCTTCGGGCTGAGGGAGAGTTTATGTGGAGTGGTCTGAAGGTGGTTAGACCACAAAGTCATCCTTTGGTTGTGAGGGCTAGTATTAAAAGGCTCTACCGAGTGCAGAAAGCTGTGTCTGGATTTGAGCCGCTTGCCCACTGGCTGTTGTTCGAAGAGTGGGTGGAGTGGATTGTTTTCTTGTTTGTCCTTTTCTTTCTGGGACAAGACCAACCTTCTGACGTGTGGAGGGGCAATACCGCAGAGCAGGTAGATGTCTTCTACTTTAGTTGGCCTTAGGCATCCAGTGATCGCTCTGCAAGATGAATTTAGAGCTGGGTCAATCTTGGGTGCATGGGCCGACCTACTCCATACTGGTGATGCATACTCCGCAGCAGAGAAGCAAAGCGCGAGGGCTGTCGTCCGGATTGTTCTGGCATCAGTCCCGCAGTTGGTGTTGGCTAGCTTCTTGAGGATGCTGTTGCGGGCTCCAACTTTTGCCTTTGTGTTGGCAATGTGGTTCTTGTAGGTAAGGGAGCGATCGAGTGTGACGCCTAAGTAGACTGGGTTGGGAGTGTGCTTCAGCCTTTTCCCATACCAGCTGATCCTTAGTTGATGGTTGGCATCCCTGTTCTTGAGGTGGAATGCGCTTATCTGAGTTTTATCAGGGTTAGCTCTCAGGTGGTTGGTCGCATAGTATGGGATGAGACCGGCCAGGGCATCACTGAGGGACTCCTCCAACTTCACAAAAGACTGGTTCTGGGTGGCGATGCAGAGATCATCGGCGTAGAGGAAGCTCCTGGTGTTTGGGTGGATCAGTTGGTCATTCGTGTACACGTTAAAGAGTAACGGTGCGAGCACACTTCCTTGTGGTAGGCCATTTTTCTGTCTGCGCCATCTGCTGCGATTCCCATTGAGAACCACAAAATATCGCCGATTGGACAGCAACGTCTGGATGAGTCCAGTCAGTCTCACGTCCTTTGTCAGCTCAAAGATCTTCCTGGTAAGGATTCTGTGGTTCACGGTGTCGTAGGCAGCAGAGAGATCAACGAAAGCAGCTCCAGTGATTAGCTTACTCTCATACCCGTCCTCGATGAACTGAGTGAGGTTTAGGAGTTGGCCAGTGCATGATTTTCCTGGCCTAAACCCTGCTTGTTCTGGAATGAGATGTTCATCCACGAATGGGGCGATGCGGTTAAGGATAAGCCGCTCGAACAGCTTATATGTATGGCACAGTAGGGAGATAGGCCTGTAGCTCTTTGGACTGGCTGCGTCTTTACCAGGCTTCAATAGGGCAATAACTTTGGATTTCCTCCAGAGCTTTGGGATGTTGTTGGTGCCCAAACATTCGTTGAACATTTTGAGAAGCCAGTTGAGGGCGCCTGGTCTAAGCTGTTTGATCTGCTCGCAGAGGATGTCATCAAGTCCAGCAGCTTTGTTGTTTTTCATTGCTTTGATGGCAGCAAGCAGGTCGTCCATGGTGAACGGTCTAGTGAAGCCTTGGTCATCTTGAGAGCTTAGAGCGTCTGGGACCTTAGGGAGTCTGGCTCTTCTGGGGTGATGGTCAGGGTTTCCCCGACCATTCAATAGGAGTTGATGGGCAACTTGGTCAGCAGTGACTTCAGATCTTGGTTGGGCCTTTGTATAGTCATTGCCCAGTATCCGGATCGTTTTCCATGCCTTCCTGCTGCTATGTGTCATGTCAGTGGATTGAATGAATTCCTGCCACTTCCTCCTTCTAGATTCACCAATTTCCTTGGTCAGATTTTCTCCAGATTCCAGTGTCTCCTCACTAAAGGGGTCCATCTGGAAGTGTTCGATGTAGTCTTCATACATCACCTTGGAGTGGTCCGTCAAGCCTTGAATGTAGCTTGTGCGACATCCTCGGGGGATGTTACGCCTTGACGATTTCTTCATCAACTCTACAAAGGTGTCGTAGTTTTGGGGGTGGCAGGTAGGTCCTGGATGTAGGAGTCAAAGTCCTTAGCAAACTTTTCCCAGTTTGCCTTCCTCAGGTTGAAACGACGTCGGAAGGGTACTGCTCGTGGAGTAATGACTGCATTAACCTTAAGCCCTATCGGTCGGTGCTGGGAGTGAGGGATTGGGTCGAGAATGACTTTCTCGCACTGGTTAGCAATCCTGGTAGATGTAAATATCAGGTCAGGGTTGTAGCCACGTCTCCACCTTGCACTGTTGAAAGAGGCAGGAAGCTTAGCGTCATGAATTAGGGACAGCTGGTTAGCATCTGCCCATGTCTCAACGAGTTCACCATCTTCGTTCATTTCTCTATATCCCCAGGAAATACTATGGCTGTTGAAATCACCAATGACCACATTCATCCTGCCGTCAGTAGCTCTGCCGGGCAGGTCGAAAGGCTCTTGAGGTGGCTTGTACACGGAGCTTACGGTGATTCCCATTAGGTCAATAGAAAGGACTTCAATGTTATTGATGTCTGATAGGTAAGATTTGTCCACAGCAAGACCATTACGGGCAAAGATTGCACTTCCGTATTGGTCATGTGGTCTCTCTGCGATGAGGGTCATTCCGGAGATACGAGGGCGAACTCGTGTAGGCCCGCGATGGGTCTCCTGGAGGCAGAGAATGTCACAGTTGGTTGTTATGCATAGGTCAGCCAAGAGTTCTTGTTTGGCGCCTGAAAGACCTTCAATGTTGGATGAGATGATACTCAGGGCCGGTCCTGACAAGGACCCATGAGTTCGACCCTGGGCCTCAGCAACAAATTGGTCATCATTGTCATTGGTAGCCATGGTGTTGGTTGTGGTAGTTACTAAAAGAAACTTGAGTAGTGTGGTTGAAGGATTCGCAGATTTTCATCTGACGGACCGCGACGTGAACGCTCCTTCAATGGCCCCACTGTTTTTACTGTTCTCCTACACTAATTAACTATACTCTAGATACAGTACAGGTGATTGATCTGCAGTAACCTCTAAGTAAGCTATATGGTAATGCAGCAGAATTAATGATAGTCTATCGTATATATTTTGAGGAGGTATCAGCAAGGTAGACTAAACTATAAAAAATATTTAAAGAAAAACAAAAAAAGGATACTCTCTAAATTTGAAAGTCTTATTTTTAAATCTTAAAGTCTTACTTTTAAATCTAACAGAGACTGATATTAGTGACGAACCCTACTACTACTACTACTACTACTACTACAACTACTACCACTACGTACACTGTTGCTCATAACGGTGGAATATTTTTTTTTTATCCCAATTTATGGAATTATTTTAAAAATAATTTAAAAATACTAGATCTAGATAATAGTATACAGTCTCAGATTTTATTGAATAATAATTTGCCAATATGTGTTTTGCGTGACTGCTAAAGCATGTATATTATGCTACTATGTTTATTAACTAGGGGACCTATGCCCTTAAGTCATAAATGACAGTAATGAGGATTAATGCCTCACAAAAGGGCACTAATATAGCACATCGACACGGTGTTGATCCTGGGGCCTCACAGTTACGAGGCCATTGCTTTGTCACTGAACCATGACTGTACGCAGCGGGGGCTATGGTAGGGGGCAGTTTCCATAAATAAAAAAAAAAACAGAAAATGCAATAAATTTTCAATAATTTATTGCATTCTACCCCGGTCCCCAACATTAAAAAATCTTCTGTGTGTCCCATGCCTTGAGCCATAATGCATGGCCGTCCAGAGGATTTTTTTATGTTGGGGACCGGGGTAGAATGCAATAAATTATTGAATATTTATTGCATTTTCTGTTTTTTTTTAATTTATGGAAACTGCCCCCTACCCTAGCCCCCGCTGCGTACAGTCATGGTTCAGTGACAAAGCAATGGCCTCGTAACTGTGAGGCCCCAGGATCAACACCGTGTCGATGTGCTATATCAGAGCCCTTTTGTGAGGCATTAATCCTCATTACTGTCATTTATGACTTAAGAGCATAGGTCCCCTAGTTAATAAACATAGTAGCATAATATACATGCTTTAACAGTCACGCAAAACACATATTGGCAAATTATTATTCAATAAAATCTGAGACTGTATACTATGATATAGATCTAGTATTTTTAAATTATTTTTAAAATAATTCCATAAATTGGGATAAAAAAAAATATTCCACCGTTATGAGCAACAGTGTACAATACTACTACTACTACTACTACTACTACTACTACTACTACTACTACTACTACTACAACTACTACAGCAACTACTACTTCTACTACTAACACTACTACTACTACATCTAATTCAATATGGTAACAATGTTGATAGTAGTAGTAGTAGTAGTAGTAGTAGTAGTAGTAGGAGTATTAGTATTATTAGTAATAGTATTAGTAGTAGTAGTAGTAG